TTTCCTGTAAATTATATCCATGTCGTCCCCTCCCCATGAAAAGTGGCTGAGTTTAAAAGCAAAATTCTCTAGTTACAGAGAAACTGTGCTATGTATTAGGAGCAGAAAGTCATGGGCTAAAGTCAACCATCAGGTCACTCCACTGAAAGCAGTGGAGATACACCATAGATTAATTTGTCTAGCTGTGTCAAATAGAGGATAATAGATTTAAATCAAGATTAGATGTTTTTCTAAAAGATGTGCACTAGCAATTATTTTGGGGAAGTTCTATGTCCTGTGTTATATAGGAAGTCAGACAAGATGACCACAATGCTCCCTTCTGGGCTTGGAATCTATGAATTGTGAATCTATGAAAGCACACTCTTAGCAAATTAACAAGTAAACCCCACAAAAGCTAGGCTAACAAAAGTAGATCGTTTATACATGCTATATAAATAGGATTCATACTATATGCATTTTTTCATTGGATTATTACTTTCTGTCTGTTTTTTTCCACACAACTTCTCTGTGTTTGCTTTTTAATCTCCCTTTTCTTGATTCCCTTTTTCAACTTTTTATCCCACTGGATTCCTTCCCTCTCTCCTACTTTCACCATCTTACCACCTAAGCATAATGTGCTACTTACACTACGTCTACACTGCAGTCGGGGGTGTGATTGCAGCTCATGGAGGCATACACAAGCTAGCTTTTAATCTAGCTATCTTGCTAAAAATAGCAGTGAAAACACAGTGGCATGGGCTTCAGAGCAAGCTGTACAAGGTCCCCCTGAGTACATACTTGGGTTTTTAGTATGTGCTGAAGCCTGAACTTAAAGCTAGCCTGGGTACATCTACGTGAGCTGTAAATCACAGCTTTGATTGTAGAGCAGGCAAGCATCAGAGTCCAATTTTCAAAAATGCTAGTTGAGATTTTCATAGCCATCTAGGGAATTTAAATTTAGACACATATCTCCCATTAGTTTTAATGAAAGATCAATGTTTAGATCTTCAAGACTGCTTTGGAAATTTCAACCAGTATTTGCCTAGGTTTGAAATTAAACGAACCAAATGCTCCCGGCCACTTTGTCACTGCCAGATATTGTGGTCTTTTAGGATTTTATCAAAGCACTGTATTTTCTCAAGGGCTGTCTCTCTGAACTCAGTGCAATGGCCAGGAGAGGCTGCCCATATTATCTCGTTTACAACCTCCAGAGTCATGACAACAGATGGCCATTCCATTTTCATCCCATTTCCTCATGAGGATTTCAATCCAATTATGACGTTGGCTATTGTGCGCCAGATTTTCAATGTCTGATTCTAACTATAATCTGCACATGTAATTAAACAGAGATGAACTATGTATGTTACTGAATAATATGGGCTTGTACATTATGTAGCAAACAAATTGCTTTACCGTCGTTCAGTGCAGGTATTTCACACCTCCAGTTCAAAGAGAGAAACACGCAGACATCCTGATTCTGCAAGGTACTTAGGAACATACCTAACATTAAACACATGAATAGTCCCACTAAAGTTAACTGATGGGCAGAAAGTTAGGCATGTGTTTAAGTACCTTGCCAAGCCAAGGCTAGAAATTAAGATTTTATATATAAATGAAGCCAACTGTGGCCATGATTGTTCCCAGGAGGAAATCTCTGTGACACCAGGGCATGAATTTTGGCTGTGGCATAAGGACAATCAGAGTCAGGGCTAACAACAGAGAAAAAGACATACACAAGGACCTGATCCTGCTCTCACTGAAGTCACATTTTACCATTAATTTCAATGGGATTAGCATCGGCCCCTCCGTGTAAATATTGCAATAGCTAAAACTATTAGTCAGTGGTAATTCTGAAATGACAGCACTTAATCATTTTCTCTCTCTCTCTCCCCCGCCCACTCCCTTGCCCCATGTATTCTGCAGGGGTAAACTAATAGACAGAATCTGAGAGTATTTCAAGGACACTTACATAAGGACATGGAAATGTTTTCTACCGAGAGAAGCCATTCAGCCCATCAATTTTCATTCTTTTCTAGCACTCCAGACAAGATAAGAGCAAACCAGAAATGTGCTCAGTTCACTTATTCATCCAGATAAAATTATTGAGGCAGCGTGTTCAATTAAAAAAAATCACACCCATTTCAGTGTCAGTGTAATGTTAGAGTCTGGAATGTTAGAACAGCTAAGGTGACTTACAATAGCAAGATTTAGGTATTAACATGTCTTCATTTAGGTGTGATCGTAAACAACACAAAGACACTAAGAACTAAATTACCCAGAAATCATTAATAGAAAACAAATAACTATAGCCGAAAATATGCTTAAGTGGTTAAATATTTAGAGAAAAAATCCTCGTTCTTACCTTTTGTTGAGTTGATAGACTGGCTTCATTCAGGTTCTTTGTCTCTCTCTGAGCTTATTACTGTATTATTTCTTCTTTTCCTTATTATTTATTTCTGTAGCACTATAGATTAGCATTTTAAAGATGAATACAGTGAGGAAGTCCCTACTCAAAGGAGTTAATGTTCTAAAAATCTATCATCTTCCCCACTGTTCGGGTCCAGCCAGATCACTGGAGTTAAGCTGAGTAGGCCCAGGACTTGTATGGAAGACCTCCAAACATGCTGCAGAAAGTGGTCCTGGTGATTCAGTAGGTGACACTCCTCTTCTCTACCACAGCATTATGCACCCAACTCAAGAAAACATTGAAGTCCATTCCTATCAGGCAAGCTTTAAGCACATGCCTAACTTTGACATCAATGAGACTTTAGCACATGCTTAATCACCCATCTGAATATAGATGCTTTCCTAGATTAGGACCTGTGTTAGGTCAACTGTGCTAGTGGAGGTGCCATCACTTGAAAGAGATGTGAAACTTAGATACTGACCACTTTTGGTCATTACGCTTCTTGAAACAATGTTAACTGGTTAAATTCCAGCTGGGTTACTTTAATTCTTCTTACTTAAATTCCCTGTACTGTTTCAGATGGAAAGGCATATTTCTAACTTCTCATCCTAAACTTTCTGTCCTACATGGTATAAAACTGGTCTACCCTGTTGGAGAGTAACTGTATTTCAGTCCAGAGATGATCACATTTCAGTAATAGATTAAGTGAACCCAGTGTGTAATTTAAGATCGTGAAACAATGTAAGGTAGTCCAGATTGAAGGTTCTATACAAATGAAGAGTCATTCTTTGGGTCACTGCTTCTCCCCTCTTTACGCCCATATAACCCTATTGAAGTCAATGGGCTTGAATGTGCTTTGAGCTGGAACAGAATTTGGCCCTTTGTCTCTGTTTGTATTAAATAATTACAGTGATGTTGATCTTCAAGAAAAAGTGGACAAGGTGGAAAATACATTTTATTAGAACCCCAAATATTTTTAAATACACAACATTTCAAGTATTTGTGATAAATCATGAAAGATCCTGAAGTTTGGTTCTATCTTAATGTATGTATTAGCTCAGGGGTAGGCAACCTATGGCACGCGTGCCGAAGGCGGCATGTGAGCTGATTTTCAGTGGCACTCACACCGCCCAGGTCCTGGCCACCAGTCCGGGGGGCTCTGCATTTTAATTTAATTTTAAATGAAGCTTCTTAAACATTTTAAAAGCCTTATTTACTTTACATACAATAGTTTAGTTATATATTATAAACTTATAGAAAGAGACCTTCTAAAAACGTTAAAGTGTATTACTGGCATGCGAAACTTTAAATTAGAGTGAATAAATGAAGACGCGGCACACCACTTCTGAAAGGTTGCCGACCCCTGTATTAGCTCAATAAAAGGCATGGAATGATCGACCTTGCCCATCCAAGTTGTTGTTATTTATTATTTGTATTACTATAGTTCCTGGCAGCCCCAGTCCTGGGGCAGGATCCCATTGTGCACACAACAAAATAATGGTCCTTGTCCCAAAGAGTTTACAATTATTTTAATTGTGTCCATTCCCATTCCTGCCAAAGGCAATTGCCAAACTCCTATTGACTTCAGAGGGAGCAAGATCTGGCTCATCATTCTTGTCATTATCATTTTGAACCCTCTTCTGCTTTAATCAGAGCTTTTATGAACACCAGATGGTCTATTGCACTCTCTACAGGTGGAGACTTCCAGTGAACCAGGGAGCAGAGTATGGCATTTCCTTCTGACGTCACTCCCCCTTTGTTCTGTAACTGTGCTGCAAAAATGAAATGAGGAAATATCAGGAGAAGAGGAAAAGGAGAACATTCAAATCAAATTTTAGTGGAGCTCTGGCAGGATTCAGGGGAAAAATACTCAAGATCCATTGAGCCTTCAGTAGTGCTTGAATGGAGATATGTTCTGGTGAGAGATTGACTGGTCCACTAAGGCCCAAGTCCTGCTCCAGAAAACTACACCAATGCAGGACTCCTTCCATGCAGTTCACTTTTCAGGATCGATGCCGAAGTTTGGATCCTTAAAGTCTGGGGGTTTTGCTTCAGTCCATTCTATATAGACTGGCTGGCTGCAACATTTAGATCTGGTTTCACAGTCACATTTCCCAGACATTCAGGATGGATGAAGGAATTTTAACTCAGCTCTGACATATTCTTTCCTCAATTATAGCTATTCTTCATTTGTCCATTAGCTTCTTTCATGAACACAATGTATTCGTTTTTAAATGCCCAGAAACTATTCAGTGAAAAGCTGCTGGCAATTACTAACTCTCACAACAGCTTAGCACAATGAGGGGTAATTATTGTCAAAATCCCTTTTTTTTCCCCACAACATGTTGAAGGAACTTTCAATTTAGTTTTGTTCATTACCAAAGGATCCCTTTATAATTTTAGTATTATCTTGATAAATGTGAGTAACAAAATGGTATGTGCTTTATTGCTGGTGTTACCGTGAGATTTCTTGCTGTTGATTTAATATCAGTGTATATCAGATTTCTTGCCATTATTTAAAGAAAAATTAAAAGGCTTTTGCATCTCAACTGTTCTTTTATAAAAGAAATGCACTTCTGCTCTGTTTCTCAACTCTGCTTTTTGTCCCACACAGGTAAGGGGGTGGCTCAAATTGCATAACCCATTCGCTAAGAGGATGAGTGACTGAGTCATTTCACAAAGAGAGCTGACCCCTTAGTACTCTGATCACAAAGCCTAGAGGTTGACAATAACATATGTTTTGTAAATGTAATGCCAAACAAACAAAGAAGAGGAACTCCCTCTTGCTGAACGGGACTGCTGTTTTCTTCCTCCTTAGTAAGTTATAGAATGCAATTTTTGACCAAAAAATTAATAAAAAAAATAAAACTGGACAAAGTCGTAGGAAATTTCATTAGGGCCGGGGCGTCTGCAGAAATTTAAATTTGATTGCTTTTGTACGAGCACATTAAACACACAAAATGAAAGGTTTGCATGATCCCCGCCCCCCAGATTTCTAAGGAGGCCTCTGGTGGGCAGGCCCAGCAGCTCCCCCTGGCAGCGACTCTGTGCCTGCAGCCGAGCAGGGAGGAAACAGCAGGACAGTTGGCTGCCGACTGAGCTCCTCTTCCTCCCATCCCTACAGCTGCTGTTTCTCCTTCCCTGCTGCTGGAGTCCCAGCACTGCCACCTGCTTTGCAGACCGCCCACTGAGGGGGTGGGGGCAGCAGCAATGCCTGGGACTCCAGCAGCAGGGAAAGAGAAGCAGCAGCTTTAGGGGTGGGGGGAGGAGGAGTTCAGCCAGCCCCCCTGCTGGTTCCTCCATTCCCAAGCTGCAGGGACATACAGAGATTGTGGGGGGGAGTGCCCCTGCTTGCCACCCCCTTGTGTACACCTCTGGTAAGGGCAAAAGTGTTAACAAAATGCATGCTGGGAAAATGTTCCCCCCTGCAAAGGTCCTGCACAAGGCCTATGCCTTACTGAAATTCCATTGTGCTGGGGGGAATTTCACGCATTATGATTTATTGATATAGAAGTACTTGACATGAAACTCACCATGAATAGTGTTAAGCACAGACTGTCTGTATACTGGCCTGTCTTCTCTGAAGTTCCCTGCCACTGCTGACTGGTGCTGCTCCATCTGTGGTAGCAACCATAGAGTACTAGTTCAGGGAGGGCACCAAGCAGATGCCAGTATTTTAAGCACCGTGTCATCTAATCCGGCTCACAACAGGTGCACACAACATGATAATAAAACACCAGAGCCTTGTCTGTACTAGGTCTCTTATCTGTTTAACTCAAGCTAGTTATTGCCCTGTTTGTCCCAGTTGTAGGATTCTTCCTGGTTTGTCTGTACAGCAGAGAGAGAGAGTGTGTGTGTGTGTGTGTGTGTGTGTGTGTGTGTGTGTGTGTGTGTGTGTGTGTGTGAGAGAGAGAGAGAGAGAGAGAGAGAGAGAGAGAGTATTA